TCATCTCGTCGCGCGAAGACTTCCTTCCAGGAAAGGACACTTTGTTATCGTGTGTGTGTGTGTGTGTGTGTGTGTGTTCATGCTGCCGTGCACGTGCGTGCGTCGTGTGCAAGTGGTAACTTAGCTTGCGTACGAAATAACACGGAAACGTTAGGTTTTTGTCGGGAGAAAGTTTGGTCCCGAGGCATTCCTTCCTTAACCGGATGTTAATGAGATCGTTAAAAGCAGTGGAGAACATCAAGGCACACGAAGCGACGTGATGTTTCTTCGCCGTTGGATGCTGCGCGCAATGTGGTAGCTTCGCGATGTCGGAAACCGTTGCTAAAAATATACGATACGTTTACCCGATCATGCCGGAAACTCACTGTTTTTTTCATGCCGAAGACCCGCTGTGATCTGATGCACTTGGCACGTTAGAATTGTCATCATTCCGCGAAAACAGATAGACAAAATTCAATTCCTTTACGGAACAATATATACTGTCTGAGATCTGAATATTAAAATTATACTTGTAAAATTATTATTTCGATTGAAGATAGTTGTACCGCAATTATATTTCTAGTTTGAAAATTCGTACAAATTTTTAGATAGAAGAGAATCTTCTGATTTTCATATCCGAGTATTTCCGCTGTTTAATCGCAAGATGGACATATCTCGGTTGAAGAAACACGCGGCTGACCTAATCCGGCTGTATCTACTGCATTGCCCGCATCAAGTCAGCACCGATGACGAATAACTGTGAAGAACACACAAAAGATAAAGTCACACATTTTTATAAAAGAGGAAAACTATGGCATTGTCGTTAATCCACGTACATTTAGAAAAATGAAGTGACAGAGACAGAAGAATTTTTTACGAAAAAATTTGATAGATATACAAAAATAATATAAATTCAAAATATAATATATAACAATAAATAAAATCAAATAAAACTATATTTTAATTTTTATAAAATTAATTAGATCGCTCGGCTTTCGAATCATTCGTCACAATTAAGTAGTAATTAAGTAATTAAGTGGTAATTGCTGGTGCTGTTAGGCGCAGTAGATAAAGCCGGTTCTGGTCAGCCGCGCGTTTCTTCATCCGAAATGTGTCCACTTCGCAATCAGATGGCGGCTCGAAGTGGTGGCGATTTGAGTATGGTAAGTTAACAGTTCGGGACGAGCACGACGTGCTCGTATCACCGATTGGCGAACGGCCAAACCGTGAAAATTCCTCAAATCGGCGAACATCCAACGAGCCTCTGATCGACATTCCAAGGCTGATGCAAATGCGCGATGAATTTGTTGCTTGTTTCTAGCTTTTACAGCCGCGCGGGGGCCTCCGTTTGCCCTTTCATTCAATTTCGAAGACAGTTCGTATCGTGGATAACCAATGTCAAATTTAGCACGAGGGCACGAGAATTACCAATCGGTCGAAATAGTGCCTCTTGATGCTGCGGCGCTCATGACATGTTTATCATGCGAGAATCCAAAAGATGAATCAATGGAATCTATTCGAAAGATTTTATTTGACTTAAAGAATTGAAGGATTTTATTTTTGAAATCTCTTAATTCATATATTTCGAATTTACCTTTATGATCTTCGAATTGTAAATTTTTCTTAAGTTGTTTTATTAATTCTTACATTAATTTAAAAATGAATTTTCTCAATAAATTTCTTTTCCGATCCTATATTTTGTATTTATTTATTTTGTGCGAGATTTTCTTAAAGCTTTTTCCTTATTATAGCGAGAATGAATAGTTGATGATTAAAAATACGAAACGCGCAACATATTTCCTATGTTATTTTGCGATAAAACCCCAGACTAAATGAAAATAAAGAAACTAATTTCTGCTCATAAAGCAAACTGCGATATCTCTCTCCCACAGCTCTGCATCAAGTTCGTTGAAGCTTCCTTATTAAAATGCTAAACATGTTTGCTTTTCCTTGCGGCAAGTAGCAAAAATGGGAAGTTTTTTGTGAGTAGAAATTCAAATTTCCATACACAGTGCTACTATATTCTTTAAAGAAATTTTGCTTTATTAAAAGGAAGTGTAAATACAATGACATAGCAATATCCGCAAATTTTATTAGCTGTAATTTATATGTCATATAAGATTTTTTTCTACAAATTAGCAATAATTAAAGATTAAACTGTGATTCCCCATTCTAATACGATGGCGAAACATCATGTCCACTATTATTTTTGTAACACTAAAATATGAGTGTACAATATATTCTCGCTATAATACGGAATAAATTTTTAAAAAACTTTCGCAAAATGCTTAATGCTTCCTTCGTTTATCACGATCGTCTCTACGTTGGTCTCGTTCTTCTTTGCGTTTTGTTGTTGTTGTAGTCGAGCTACTGGCGCGCTTAGCTTGCTTCAAGAACTGATCCAGACCGAAAGGATCTTCTTCGTCTTTCTCAAACTGAACTGGTCCCGATCGCGTGACTGATCTATCAGTTCCACTAAATTCCTTATCAGGAACAAATCTAAAATGAAAAATAAACTATTTATAATAACCTTGAATTTGTAGATACTATTCATACTTATTTAAAATTAAATATTGCTACGAATATAAGTACAAATATCTCACCTGTTTGTCTTAACCAATTTTTCCAGATCGTCTCCATATGTATCTTTATCGATATTCTTGCTGGGACGATAAATGTGCGAAGCAATGGAATTGCCATCTTTCCATGGTTTATCATAGACGTTATATTCGTCATCGTGTCCATAACCGCTATCCATTCCTTTACTAGTATTAAAGAGACGCTGATCGAATTGCGCCTCTCCCGTATTAGGAATGTTTTTCGCAGGTAAACCGAGAGCGATTTGTTCGCTAATATCACGCTCGCGTTCGCGTTGCAAACGAGAGCGTTTGTCAGGTGCGGCACGAGCCAAATTACGTTCGCGAGCGCGATCCTTGTGTCGCTCTTGTCTAAGCTGATCTCTCTCGCGCGATTCTTCAGCCTTATCTGTAAAAAAAAAAAAAAAGACAGCACTTATTTATCACTGTTTTGATCCAATATTTTTATTGGTTTTTATTTTACGTATATAGTTATAAACCTAAAATATTATACAAACCTAATGTGGCAGCAGATTTCAAGCCGGCGCGCTCTTCTCGGGCCTTTTGTGCGAGTTGCCTCAAATGATCCTCCTTCTTTTCTTTTTCCTTTTGAGCTAATTTCTTCTCTAACTGCGCACGCATTTCGACAGCTTGACGGGCTTTCCTGTCAGCAATATAAAGAGCTTCTGCTAGCTTGGCAAAGTTCTCATTAATGTGAACTTGCTGCAAACCTCGACCATCTGCAGCAAGACGTTTGTCTAATGGAATTGTATAACCCTAAAATCAAAGACATTCTATTCAATCTTACATAGAATCAAATATATCACATTATATTTCGGTATTATCTTTTACGATATCGAGATAGATGCAACGTATAAGACATAAAATATTTGTAGCACCTTTGCATTTTTCCAATTACTTATGCATGGTGGGATTTTCCATTCTTTTTGTTCCTTTACGGTCACTTTTCTCGTGGGAGAATGCATGACAGGCGCTGGAGGAGACGGAGGTCCCCGTGGAATCTTTTTATTAATTCTGCAATAAATATCGTTACCTTAATATACTCGGTGATTATATCTGTTATATTTGGCAATTGTTTTATTAATTGATTTTGCTCAACATACTTGAACTTTGGTGGTTCCAAGGGATCTATTTGTGCTTCTACCATTCTGATGACTCTCTGCTTTGCACCTGAGTTAAATGACTGTCCTTGTTGCGATGGTGTATAACGTATATATTGAGCTGGAGCTTGTTTCTCAGCACATCTCACAGGCATAGCTGCTGCAATCTTTGATCTTGTTATTTTTTCTAATGCTTTCTTTGTCTTATCCGTAATTTCATCAATTTCATCATCAAGAGGTCGTTGCAGAGTAGGATCTTCCTCGTTTGTAATTTCTGATGGCAGTAAATCTGTCAACTTGCTATAGACAATCTATAAAAAAATTAATTACATAAGTAAATTAAAAATGCTAGTTTTTAATCTCATAACATATCTAAGTAAGATTCAAACTTACTTTATCTTTACTATGACCTTGTCTCGCTATAAGATCATATTTTACTTTTCCCTGAGCGTCAAGTTGTATCGCCAAGGCATTGCTTGTCGATTCTTTACCTTTCATCCCCATTCCAAGTGGATATTGTGCAACGTGGATTTCAGGAAAAGCTCCTCCATCTCCAAAGTCCTATACATATATAAATTAAACTTTATAAGAAACGTCATTGTAATTGCATTCGATAACTTGACTTAAACATGAAATTATGTTGGTGAAAAATTTTAGTTTAAAATTACACAAGAAATCATATGAGAAAGTTACTCACTTCTGGATTGCGTGGCACCCATCCTCGTCGCTGTCCATAAGGTGGTGCAGTAACAACGGCTTTGACCAATGCTGAGACTGGTCTCTGGCGCAATTTCTGTTCACGTGCCTCGTCCTCCCTGTCCCACACCACCTGGGTGGGAGCAGGTAATAAGCTAATCACAAAAGAAAACAAAAAGCACTAGTATTACAAACAGAGAAATTAGATATTGATTCTGTGTTTAGGTTAGGACATCTATTTTCCAATGAAACACAGAGAAAGGATGTTACTCTTTGATATTAATTACATTATCAAACATCAATAAAATGATAATATCGAATATACAAATATACGTATAAAAATATACGTATAAAAATAATAGTCTCTTACTTCGTCAAAGACATCGCTAAATGCAATTGGTATCAACGCACTGTAAAATAAGCATACGTCCACAGCTGAATCCAAAACTTGGCGCTTTTACCGCGCGGGGTCACCAAAATCGGCATGGTGGTGGAGATTGATAATCCTTTTGTCAAGAGATATTCGATATGTTTCGATGAACGGAAAATAATAATTTTCATACATATTGCAGTAACTGTAATTGATTACTCAAACTCATAGAATGACTTCTAAGCCTGAAATCACGTTGGAACACTTTTATATTTTTAATGGCACTTACGCAAAGAAAGAAGGGGAAGTGAGTATACAATAATATATCAGAAAAGTACATCTTCCTCTAATTAAATAATTTCTGCAGGTTCTTATGATGTGAATGCATGTTCTTTTTTATAGGAGGAAAAGAAGATATTGTATTACTATCCGGAAAAGGATCTAGATATACAAATAAAAAATATTGGGCTTAGCGAGGCGATAATCAAGTTTACAGAGTATGTACTTTACGATTAAATATAAGGAGAACATTTCTACAAAAGAGACTGTATTGCAGATCTTTCAATCCTGGTCAACCATGTGATTATTGTCATACACACAAGACACGACAGATATACTATCAACCAGAACCAAATTTCTGGATGGTAATGGTAAGTATTTAAAAAATAATGAAATAATATAAAATTACTCTTTTAAATTATTAATTATATTTATGTAATATTAAAAACTATGTATTTATACAATACTTTACAGATTGTTGGAATACCATATATCTATAAAGAAAAGGATGGTAATAAATATCAGAATGATGAAGTATCTAGCAGCGTTTGTCAAGCTATATTAAAACAGACATATATGATGTTTAGATTATTCATGGGTTCTTTTGAAACAATCATTAATGATCCCGAATGTGGATCTGTAATGTTGTTGAAACTCAAGCTGGAACATTTTTATTCACGGGTAAGAATCATGAATGTGCATTTGTTTATAAAATGTAATCTAAATATGGCTTGAAATTTAATATTCTATCTATGATCTGTTTCAGTACCTGCTTTCATTGAAACTGAACAATAGTGACATCCTAGATGTTTTTCAAGGTCTACAATTTTTGCCTCTTGACAAGATTACATTTCTTAAAGTGCAATGCTTTATGAATCTGGTAGAAGCTATGTTTACACAAGTGAAATATACAGCATTTCTCTATAATGATCAAGTTGTTTGGTAAGTTATGTATTCATTATTTCTCTACTGCGATAAATGAATTAACTTTTGCACAAGATTTATACGATGTATGATTTAGGAGCGGCTTGGAGCCTGAGGACATGCAAGTAGTTTATAATTATTTAGTGAGCACTCTTTTGCCAGCTCATCTTGAGAAAGAGTTGCATGGAGGCTCAATACCTAGAAACTCCCCTTCACCGTTCACTACTTCGCATTATGGAAAGTAAGAAAGAAACGATATATTCACATCACATTGCAATGTAAATGTATATTGCAAAGAGAATGCCATTAAAAACATTTTTGTTTAGATTTGTTACTGGGCCTGCTAGCGTTAATGAACCTAGTTTAATTGGAAAATCGCCGAAAGTTTTTATTAACTATTCTACCAAACCTGTGTCATTGTATCTAGTAGTGTATCGAGCACTAAGTGCTACAATATGCCTTTTCGTCGATAGTAAGTAAAACATATCAAAAACAATTACAATTATATCATGTGGAAATTAAAATATTCATATTTTATTATACAGAGAAAACTAGTCTATTAATTGATTTTTTCAAAAGCTTAGACAGTTTTCTAGGCCCACAATTAACTACATTAGTTAGCTCTGTAGCTGATCAGTGCTCTAAACATGTAATAGTCACACCAGAATCATGCACCAAGTATCTATATTTTAATAAGTTAAATTTAGCATATAAAAGTACAATACATTTAGATAATAGACGTTGCTCTAATGTACTTACAACACCTGAGGTTTTGAGGATTATTACGGATATATATAATGATAAAAACAGGTATGTACATTCCAAAATTCTAAAATTCACAAAATATGTGCTAATGAGAATTACGTGTTAATCAATTTGATTTTTTTAGATTGAAAGAAGCTGGAGAAATAATCATAAAGACCATAAGCGATTATTGGGTTGTTGGAAAATTGTCTAATTTAAGGGAATTTTTTGTTGTTATACAACAAAAAAGTGCAAGTATTATAGAAATTGATGGTGAGTAATATATTCACGATACTGGACTGTGATAATTACATAATAAATAATCTCTCTTTATTATAGATGAAGTGAAGAGGCTTTGTGAAAAACAACTAAAAAGTATCTTTTTTCATTGATAACTATATAGAAAAATCAGAAAGTCATAAACATTATTTTCACAATCTTTTATAATGTAAGTTCTATCTCGTTAATTATCAACAATATATATTCTGTAAAATAATTACAGAAAGCTGTGTAATTTATATATATATATATATGTGGTATAAAATGTGAATTCTCTCTCTATTATATATTTTATATTACTCATTAATATTGAAAAATTTAGATATTTATACATATAAATAAAACACAATGTTATGATAATAATAGTTTTATGTAATAATAATAGCATTTTTGTAAATTTGATTACAAACCAAATTATTATAAAAAACGAATTTTAATCAGAATCTTCTTCCGTTTCATCTTTCTGATTAGGAATATTGTTGGAAAATTTTTTTAATTTTGCTACGAAAAAGCCATCCATATTATGTACATGCGGATAAAACCGTTTAGTTAATTTTAATGTAGGATGGAATCGGCGTTCCCTATAATTCGTGAAACCATTAGTTCCAAACTCTAGACCGGTAGGCAGTAATTTAACGTCGCGTTTTTTAAGAGCATAATCGATGATCCATTCATTCTCTTCTGGTAGAATAGAGCAAGTCGAATAAACAATAATACCACCCGTTTCGGATCGCGCGTTAACACAATCAATTGCAGCTAACAATAATTCTCTCTGTAATGTACAACATCGTTGGACATCTACTTCTTCCTTGTTCATCTTTACACTAGGATCTTTCGCGACTACTCCTGTACCTGTACATGGAGCATCCAATAAAACCCTATCGAAGCCTTTTATAATCTGGAAATTGTTATATATATATATATAATATATATATATATATATATATATTATTATATTATATATTA